GATTGTGCAAAAATACCCAAAAGTTGAAAAATAAGCTCACCGTGTTCCACCACAAGAGTGTAGCGAAGCTACGCTCGGTTAGTAGTTAGCAAGTTAGTAAAATAATAAGCGAATGAGTGTTACTCTCCTTTATCAGGACGCACGTGTTCGCTTATCATGTATGCAATTCGCAATGTTCCATGAACGGTAGTAGATCATTCGTTAGGGAAACACACTCGTTTCGGTTGTTCATTGTTGGATTCCGGGCTGAAATCCAAAAGGCTTCCAGCGCTTTCCTCGCTGAAATCTCCGTCTCATGGGCCAAAATCGTGCACTTGACGTCAAAATTTTCGCCACCGCTGTTCCATTCTATGTTTCCCTAACGGCGTGGACATGATTGTTGGATTTCAGCCCGGAATCCAACAATGAACAACCGAAACGAGTGTGTTTCCCTAACGAATGATCTCCTACCGTTCATGGAGCATTGTGGATTGCATGCATGATAAGCGAAGGTGCACGTCATTGATACTACACGACGGTAGCACTCATTCGCATACTAACCTACTCACCTACTAACGTGAGCTGTAGCTTTACGCTACATTGTAGTGGTGGAACACGAGGTGAGCTTATCTTTTAACTCTTGGGTATCTTGGCGATCCTGAGATGACGTCAGAAATGCTAGAGGGGAATGTCTTTGGTGGGGTAGTGTGCAACTCTAAAGCTTTGAGCCATGTTTAGGCCTTGACAACGACGAAAGGGTCGAAACGTTGGCCGAGAATAAAGAATTCCACCTAAAAACCTCGAGGCAGAAGAAAAAGATCAAAACAGTTCCAAACAGTTTCAAGATGAGAGGAGTTGGAATCTACTTATTAGGGCGTTATTAATTCCCAATAGTCTCGTTTGCTCACAGAAGCCTTCATGAAGTAAAAGCTCTCCTTTTAGTGCCAGAATACTCCTTGTCACGGCATATTTTATCCACTCAGAAGCGGCCGCTGGTGCATCAGAAGCTTTTCGATAAGCCTCCTCTTCTTATATTGAATGGTTTCAATAAGGTAAGATCGTTACCATTCCTTGATTTTTGAGATCTTTTGTAAATCATGTTTTCGCCGTCTTTTCTTTGCTTTTTTCTTCTCGTTTCGTTGATGAATGCTCGACGAATAGAAGCTGCGAAAGTCTACTTCTGTTTAGTGCTTGAATTTACGATTTTCAGAGTGGTGAAAAACATCTTCTTCTAGTGGAAACGTTCATACAAAACATGTTCCCTTCGATCAATATTGACACGGTAAGTATATTATTATTTGAATTTGTAGGGGAGGGTTCGTTTCCACAGAAGAAGCGGCAGTCGCGGTCGAGTAGAATAGAAACACTGCAAGGCTACCTTCATACCGTTTATTGGCGTTTTGACAGTTCCGAGCGGAAGAGAAAGTATTGGTAGCGATGTAGCGTTTTGAGCGAGAAGGATAGCATAGGTAGCTTAACGCTTGAGCGTTTCGCTCGGACGTTAGATTGGTAACTATACTTTTCTTTTCGCCCAAACGGGAGAAAAGTATGAACGCGGCGAGGGCTTCATGGAAGGAAAAAGGGGTTGTCCTCTAGCAGTGCTGTCGAAATTTGCTGAATTTGACGTCGCTCTTTCCCATAGAACTATACTGGGTAATAGACATTTGGGTTTGGGCCGGTTGCTGTACTCGAAGGCGGAAATCACCGAAAATCTCTGGGACATTGCTGTCGAATTCAGGAAGCAGGTCCCTTCAAAATCTTTGTGCAGGGGATTTACAGGAAACTCATAGCGAGATATCAAAGGTTGTGGTGCACTGATAACTATTACTATCTAATAAATTTTCATCGAGTTTGTTATTGCGCACGATTCCAGCTCGAATTAAAAACTGTGAAACGTTGTTTGATGGTGAATTACTCCGAGGAAGATGATACCATTGACATTCGCCATTAGTGAGTTACACTTTTAACCTTGCTCCAATATTGCAAAAATGTTTCAAGCTTAGCTTTCATCTAAATGCTGCTGAATTTAGTAGTTTTCGAGTTTATTTTATCATTTCTTCAGTGCTATCCGAACAGTCGCCTCAGGTCTGAACAAATCTGTGCGAAAATTGGTACAGGCCGGCAAGTCAACCACTAAGGATTTGCCAGATCTCTCGAAAATATAAGGATATTGCGGATTATTTGTTGAAGTAAGCATTTCATAGGCTATTTGTCTCATTGTTCAATGAAATTTTGAATTTTCCAGCCCTGGTCATCTGAGCGATAGTGAATACGAGGGTGAGCAGGAGGAGGTTGTTCTATCTCAGAGTATTAGTGAACAGTCCGGGACGATGAAGGGTGAAAAGAGCCATATACGGTAAGATTGTGCTGCATTATGTATCAGAGATTAGTGAGCAAGGCACACCTTTGAGGGTGGTCCGATCACTACTCATTTTGACCCCTCCCCCTCATCATTTTATGTCCACAAATTCCAAAAGAGTTGTCGAAGGTGGACTGTAAAAGTCAGAAATTTCTTAATTTACTCCCATTTTCTACGTCAGTTCTCACATACTTCTCTCTATAACACAAATACGACAACCTCTTCTTAGCGTTTGAATACGACCCTTTTTCAACCCTTGAAAGAACCTCAGTCTATGGCGGCGTCCACCTATTGGTTAGTTTATCTGCTCATGCCCTTTTGTTTATAGTTCTGTAGTTCTTTTGTTGGGTATAGATAAAAAAATCTCATTAATTGGCTTATCGAGATTGTTCTCATACTGAGTGCTTCCTCCGAGAACACTTTGAGAAACTTTTAAATCATTGCAGTTTGATGGAGATTGGACCGCGAATGAAGCTGGAGCTGCTGAAAGTCCAGGATGGAATTGATGAGGGTGAGGTTCTGTACCACAAAATTATCAAGAAAACCAGTGAAGAATTAGAAGCACTGAAGAAAGAAGCACCAAAAAAGAAGTGAGTCTGAACAAACCCATGTCTGTAGAGTTTCAAGCAGTGTTTTCTTTCAGACTATTGAAGAAACGAAGGGAAAAAGAGGTGCAGCACCGTGTAATTCGCCGTCTAGAAAAAGCGAAGGAAATGGCGAAGCAAGAGGTTGGATAAATTTTTGGTCAACTGTAGCAAAAATATAAAGTTTCTCTGTCTAGGAGGAGGAGCTCAAAGCGTTCAAAGAAAAAGCTGCAAGAAAACAAGCTGCTGCAACGGGGCAAACAGAAGATATCGAAAACAGCAAAGAGAGGGATCGAGAGATTGCTCTGAATAGAGAGCGGTAAGTTTTTTTACTACTTCTTCCTTATATTCGTTTTACTTGGGCTGAGCACTTGTAACGACTTTTGGGCTTGGTCTGTTGTTCAGCAGTGGAGGTGCAAGCTCGCAGAAAATGGGTTGAGATGCGGGACTGGAACATGCAGCTCACGCTAGGAAAGATGGAGTTTTGGACTCTACCTCCGCTCTTATGGTTGACACACCCCCCCCCTCCACCTCCTGCACCGCTGCCGAAGCTGCAAATCTCTTCAGCTTTGATGTTCGTTTTCACATGCCGTTCCGCCTACCTTCACCTCCACTTTGCCATCAACAACTGGTCGACTCAAGGGGAGGGGGGGAAGGGTAGTGGATGTTACAGCGAAGCCCAGCCTTTTGCCACAACGTGCCCTGGTTCAGCGTTCAGCAAGCCTTACCATGCATTGGTTTTAAGGATACGATCTGAAATTCCCACGAGGGTTTTCGAATTCAGGCTGTTTTTCTATGGTGTTATCTGCGGCAGGAGCTACGTATTTCCAGAGATACGGATGATTAGTGGAGATGAGAGAATGGGTAGATGATATAACTTCGCGCAACTTTGTGCTCATTGGCGGTGCGGAGTAACTTGGAGCAGAATCACGCTGTTCTCGTCCACAGACTGTGGGAACCGCAAACCTGAAGATTGTCCTAGAAAGGCAGTTATGGTCTCATATGTGGCCCCGCAAGGCCCCTGTGTTCATTGAATGGTATACTAGCCCAAGTTTAGCACAGTGCTCTGCGGTACATTGTATCTTTTCTATTATCATCAACTACTGTGGATTTTATAAATTCGTTGTTGTAATGATTGTGGTTTAGTGAATTGAAACGTGGCAGCGGTGGCGGCGAAGGTCAGAACCGTCCAGTGGAACCGGAACGAAAACGTCGACGAAAAGATTCCCATGGCACGAAAGAGGGACCAAGGAAGCTATTTCGTAAAGGAATGAAAGAATAACCTACGCTTTACGGCTTGAAGGGGGCGTTTTGCACTTTTGTCAGTTCCTTTTGTTAGTTCGCGTTGACTTAAGGTCTCACTTTGGTCAGACTTGTGAAACTGAAATTCTTTGAGTGAGCTTTGGTCACAGAAACTTACTGGTTGTACAGCACAAACTGTACAATCTTAGCTGACTACCATTCGGTGTCCCCACCAAGCCGAATTGCGTCGAACAATTTGATTTGTTACTGCATTGTTTGCAAATGTACTGTTGTTAATTCGAAGTATAGTTCTGTTGTTATTTGCTAATTGTTACCTTGTTGCCGATTGTGATCTTTACTTTGATCAATTTGATTTTGGTAGTTTTCACTATTGAAAGGACTTATTAAATTCGTGCATAGCATAGTTGAATAGTTTCGTCCGTGGTGCGAAGTGTTTCACTGCCTGTTACTTGGGAACTGACTCGAGTGCAATCGAGTAGAAATAGACTGCTTGGGCTGAGCATAGCCTTTTCGACCCGGTGACTCGAACATTGAGCGAAACAGGATAAGAATGACCGCTCAGCGCTTGTTTCTCCCAAGTATTGTCTCGTAAAATGTTCTGTCTGCTAGTCAACGCTAAATCTCCCACTCTCCAAGGATTTTTCATGGTGCAGCACGGCCAGACCGGGGAACGCCATCGTTATGATGATCACAACGGGGGAGGGGGTCGTATTTGCTCTGAGAAGATTTTTTTTTGTTCTCTTGTTTCACGGACGCTATAATGGATGGTCGTATTCGGTCGTTGTTGGGAGAGGGACTGCCAGAGATGTATACACCTATATTTCCGATAGTTGAACAATGATAGTTAAATCCTGACGACCTCCCCCCCCCCCCTTCCTCCCCCACCCTCCCGCTCGACGGAAAATTCTTGGCTGAAAACTGGAAATTTTTCGGAAAAAATGGAAAAAGTGGTAGGAAGTTGGGAAAATCTAGGAAAGTGGTAGGTAGCATGGGGAGGGGGTCGTATTTGAGGATGGAATTAGGGGGTCGTATTTTTCAGGAAATGATCACAACGCGATGGCGTGCCCTCGTCAGACTTCTATAAGAAGGCCCAACTTGGGATCTTTCTAGCTCTTCGAAATCACTACGGACCCACCACCTTTTCCAGGTGACATTTACCCGGCCCCGTGGAGTTCAAACAATACACGAGTTGCGGAATGAAAAATTGAGGATTGAGCGGAAAGGGTTACAAAGTTCGTATCGATCTGGAGAACTGACGAATCGCGGTATGAGGAGTGATGGATTTGGATTTTGAGAGAAATGAAAAGTGTGCAAAAATAGATCGATATCTAGTCTTTTTGCATATTCGTCAAGTCCCACGACTCTTTCGCTTGTCTTCAATTCTCTTCATTTCACAACTCGACAATTCGCCATTTTCTTCACTGTCTGAACGCGGCCTACTCGTCTCCATGATCACCTCAGCGCGCTAGTGCCCTCAGTTAAACTCATTACTAACCCATCGATTGAGAGGACGTCTCCAACACTTGTAGACGTGCCAGGTACATTGCCGTGACATACATTTGCATCATGTCTGTGAAATCCTAGTGAACAGTAGCAGTATTTTCGTACCACTTCTGAAGACAAATAGCTGAAAAACGTATGAGCTTCCAGCATCCAGTTTAGGCTCATTCCTCTGACGTCCCTAATAGAAAGTCATTGAATATTCGCTCAAGAGTATTTTTATAGCATAATAAAACTGGGCGGAGGTGGTGTAGTGACAAGTGGCGCGCTTACCACTCGCGCGGCGCCGGGTTCAAATCCCGGGTCGACACCCGCCCAGGCCAACCAAGCCTTCTACCCTCCGGGGACGGTAAATTGGTACCAGATTCGTCTGGGAGGATAAAACACTGACTTGTACATCGGCTGGCCACCGCAAGTCATTGTATAGGCCACATCGCATTCAATAAGCCACTACGATTCTGAATGGAAGTAGAATGCGTGCCGCATCCCACAAAGGGATTGATCAACGGCGAAGACTTTATCCTTTTATCCTTTTAATAAAACTGATCAGATAATAGGCACATAAGTAGAAATGGTAGAATGTGATCGCTACTTCACCCGAAACGTAGCGATTTTGTTGTGCTACTAAACACCGAATTGCAATTGAATAGCAAAGCTAGCCGATTATTCTCTGGTCAAAACTATATCGACAACAATATTTTCTCAACAAAAGTGGTTAGATTATCGTACATCCTATCTAAAAATAACAATAGATCACAACGTAACAATCAACAAGCTATTAGTAATCACAAGAACCGTCTTTCCAACCATCTTTCCATCGCTCAAAGACTTTTGAGCAGTCAAAATCCGGTTTTCCAGTCCTTTTATTAACCTGAAAATGCAGCTGCAAAGCATGGCGTCGATAAGACTTTCAATTTACACAGTTCACAGCACGACGAGCTATCAAATTAGATTTCAGCAACACAATGAAGAATTAAAAACATGACTCTTTGCCCCTTACTACCCGAACTCGAAACTCTGGCCAGATTTTCATCGCAGCTCGTCCCCGAGAGTGACTTGGGCTAGGAATTTCCCGTCCTGAGGAACCTGTCACTTTGAACACAATTACCACATGTATTCATCACATAAGCGCCTGTGCCACCACAGATCGGTGTAGCCCAGCATATCTAAATAACGGCGAGGGCGTCAGACGCTGCAAATACTGCCACGAGCGCGGCATTCGCACCTGAACTCATCTCGAGTGAAGGAGCAATACTGCCGTGGGTCAAGTCAAAGAGCCAAGAAAAAGCGAGCTAGTCGCGCAATGCTGCGACTCGATGCGCTGATCTACAATCAACCACCTCAAATCACCAAAATCGCCGAAAACTCGTCCTAAGGGCAGTTTAAGCCCCTAAGCACGAACACAACATCTGTTTGTAGGAAAACGCGTCGCGTTTCAAGCGTCTGAGTCAAAACAAATTTGTGACAAAAGCGCCTGTCACAAGGACGTCCAAGCATTTCTGTGGTGAATGGGAGTGACACTTGTGCTCGAGGGGTTCCACTACCCGAGCTATCGATTTCAGGATTAATCGAGCCCGAATTCCAAGAAAAAAACGTCAATTATTTCGTGGGTGCTATGAGAGCTAGGGTTGATAACCCTTTTATGCCGAATGGCTCGGTGGTTCAGTGGATTGCTCGTCAGAGAGGCAGAAAGAAAGAGAGAGAGAGATAAGTCTTTACCTGGCCAACACAAAAGCAAGTGCTTCGCAATACTCACTCGACAGCTCAAGCACAATCGCTCTATGCGCCTCGCATCACAACTAAGTATGAAGAGCCCAACCCAAACCCCCCTGACCACGTTGGGGTCGAAAGGGCATCAATCGCGACGATTATAACCCTGATCGGTCAACAGGAAAATATTGTCGCGTTAGAAAAGCGAATCGAGGGGTGCGGTCAGTGTAAATGCGCGAAACTTCGGAGGCGGTTGCCACGATTTTCCAAAAGTCTCTCCGCTCTGCTTGCTTCGTCTGGCAAGAACTGTAGGGAAACTAGCTGGCGTCGCGCCAAAATTCATACCGCTCAGACACGCCCGTCGATTCAATTGTTAAGGAGTGCACGCACAACGTGGCTGCGCTGGTAGGACAAAAAGGAAAGAAAATTTAACACTGGAAATATGAATACCTTGTTGTGCAGCTGACACATCCATAACGCAAATTCACTGCGACTACCAAGTTTTGGAGGCTCCTCGCTTTAATTCTGCCGCAAATCGTTGCCACAATAATCACATGGGTATGTCTGAAATTAAAAGAAAGGAGTTTAAAAATGGTGTTAGAACAATCCAAATCTCTTTGAAAGTTTCCAACTGTTGGCTCACCTTCGATAGACTGTCCATAAATACGGAAACAGGTCTGTTTTTGATCGTGCCTTCGTTGGTTTTTCAGGATGTTAACGACTCATCGGATGCAAAAGATTGCCCAATGTTGATTCGACACGTTAAGTGTACTGTTGAATCTAAAACACTCGCCAGAAGACAAAACTAGTGACATGTCTGGCGTTGTGAAGTAGTAAGGAAGCGCTTCATACTTTTGGATGCGGCGTTCCATACTTTCCGTTGGAGCGCGTTCATACTTTTTCGTAGAGGCATGGAGCGTTGAAATTCCAGCTCTTCAGCGAAAAGGAATTTTTAGGTATCGACCGAGCGTTTCGAGCGTTTAGGCGGAACGCTAGCGTTTTGAGCGAAACGGAAAGTGTAGATACGATTAATCGTTCCGAGCTCGCTCAAAACACTCACAAACGCTGGATCGACACCTACACTTCCTGTCTGCGTCAAAACACTGGAACGCTAGAAGGTCCGGAAGGTTCCGTTGATACCCGCACTTCTCTTTTCGCTGGAAATGCTGGCCTTTCCTCCAAAGCGCCAGGAACGCTCAACACGCCCGATGAAGGTGTGAACACAGCCTATTGGTGTAGTGGGGAAGGTCCACATTGTGACGACGCGCCGAAATTAGCAGCTTATTTCCTAGCTGACTATAGCTACTTGACATAGTGCAGTTCTTTCACTTCAAATCATTTAGGTTCGATAGCGAGAGGGTGCAAAAGCTGCATTCGTGACACTACTTGAAAGGCTGCGTTACCACAAATTGGGAATTTCCCTACTGCACTCCCTTATTATACATGAAGACATTCTCACCAAGCTGATCCTTATCAACGGGACACTGATCGTAGCTATGGGGCATTGATGATTTCGGATCCTGACTTCGAACCATTTTCTGCGTTATCTGAATACGGTACATATTACCCTACTGAAAAAGTTCATAAAATCGTGGGCGTGTTAGACCTGGAGAGGGCATATAGCACTTTCGATAGTTCCTTTTCATGGTTCATGTTAATCAAATTTTCTCATTTTGGTTAGACTTGTAAACTCCTGTGAAGCTGCGAAATTGGGCTATTGAGCCACTTCGGTTACAGGAGTTTACAAGGTCTTCACAAGGTGGCCTGAGTACCATTGGGTGCCCCCATCGACCGAACTGCACCGAGTTTCGTTAAACAGGAGAATAACGCATGAAGCTCCATTAAGGATGCGCCACGCAGTCGCGCCACAAATCAAAATCAGAGAAACATGCGAATGTTCCTACATAGCGAATCGAAAAGCCGGCCAATATTCAACCCATCGGTATTTTCAGAGAAAATGTAAGAGCAACCATGGAATTCTGAGGGATTTCATTACGATGTAGCTACATGACTAAGCCAAATAAACAACTTTCACAGAAGATGCAAAAATTAAGCCCATGGATGGCATTTTGTTGACGTACCTTTTGCATTTCCATTAGTCTTTTTGACATATTCTTGTGCACGTTGCATCAATTCCTCCAGACTGGTACAAGCTCTACACGGCTTTCCGTCGGGACCAATTTCCATTACTGCAATTTCCTCTTTCAATGAGTCTATTACTCAAGGCAGACCAGAGAATACGTGAAACAAGGCCAATTGCGTAGGCGATGGGCGGAATGTTCTGTTAACGCACGCTTTCCAAGGCTGCGTTTATACTTTGCGACTCGAGAAAATGGCGTTGGGGAGAACCGGTGTTTTGAGCTACATTCAGCGCTGATCGACGAGATAGAGTGTACAGTCACGATTCCTGCAAAACCATACGTTACGTGACGTGGATTGGGGCGCAGCCAGAGCGACCCATTCCACCAACGATGCCATCCTGAGTCCGCAACTACTGGAAAGGCTGCCCAGGCTGCGACCCAATCCACATACCTTCACACGCCCTAGCATTTGCAAGGATTATGACTGCACCTACGGTAGTAGGATTGCCTAACTTTTCTGAAGCGAGAAACAGCTGCAAACTGTGTGCGATAACCGTTCTCATTTCAAAGTGAGAGACGCACAAAATGACAGGAATCTGCGTCTCTGGTGTGCCAAGCTCAGTCTTTGTGGAAAGAAATGTACGGGATGTTGCCGTTTATGCGTTCCTATGCCAATACTCACCTTTTTAATAGATCCGATGTAAGTGCGACTGGTGGGTTCACCAATCGCATGCCCAGTAAAGCTCACCGTTCGATTAACGGCCAAGTAGTTGTGGACGTTTGCCTTTGTGCCCTTCCCTTCTGCCTGAAAAATATCGATAACAACAGCACATAGGAAACTAACAACAACCATCGCAGACGACACAAAATGACTGATAAGAAAGTCAGAGCTAATAGTGGACGTCGACTGCACAGTCTTCTGCCATAGTCAACTCCTCAAGCTGATTTATACTCCAAAACATCGCCTGCTTATTCACCTATTTTCTCCAAAACCTTCCTTCCAGAGAATGATGGACTTCTCCAGTTGATTTTCAACTTGAAACAGTCTAGTTTATAAAGCGATGCTAGGAGCAGTTAGAAGAGGGGAACGTAGGAGGAAGCTCGGCCCGAGACTAGGCTGCGCGGGCTAATGCCGTTTGGACTCCAGAAATTTCGTCTTCGAGCTCATTTTAAAAGTGGCAAGATCACCAAATCCGCTAAAAACTTGTATATAGGGGTAATTCAACATCCTGATCACGAATATGACATTCATTTTTGGCGCTGGCGCTAATGGATGACACTACGGTTACCTGCGCTCTGCTAAGGCTGAGCCCAGGAGGTAATCGTAGTGTCCTCTCTTGGCGCCAGCGCCAAGAATGAGTGTCATACTCGTAATCAGGATGTTGAATTACCCCTATATACAAGTTTTTAGTGGATTTGGTGACTTAGGCAATTTGAAAATGAGCTCGAAGACGAAATTTCTGGAGTCCAAACGGCATTAGCCGGCTGCGCGAACTCTGGCCGTCTACGCACTTCTACGTCCGAGCCTGGAGGGGACAGGGACCACTATTTCCGTAGAAAGCTGCACGCGAGCCGACTCTACCCACTAGGCAACTCCCAGAACTATTCCTGTTCTCATTCGGGCAGCCCTACTAGTCATGAAAAACCCGTCCCATCTCCCGAGGTGCATTAGGATGGAAAGAAAAGCCATCTGAGCGCGGCCACAACTTGCGCAGCTGGGACGAGTGCGGCAGCTTTTCACTGCTCAAAAACGAACGAAATCGGCACCAATAAACTTAGAGGGAACATTTGCAGGACCACTTGTGCAAAACTGGAACCAACGTCACCCAGTAGAGTCGCCCTACTGAAACCGGTTTAGCCACCTCAGATCTTTCCCCTAGACTTAAGAGAGAAGTGCGCGTGCGCGTCGCGAGCCACGGAATTCCCTTTTCTGCACGAGGGAGTCCTTTGGAATGCCCTTACTAAGCGCCTATTAGTGCCAATAGTCTTCCCCACAAATCCAGCGGTTCAATTTAACGTATTTAATCAGCACCATAAAAAAGGCTTTTTGATCACACTCTACTTTCCTAGAAAGATTTCGCAGTTTATATGTGAGATTACTATTGTTACCAAGGAAGATACCTCTTCGCGGCGAATGCTGTGCGATATAAGCCGCGGTGATAACCACGGCGCCTCGCGACAATCCGTGGCCTCTGCGGAATTTGGAGGAGCAAAAACTTGCAAAGTAATAAGTATCGATCGCGGGCCTCCGCGGCCTCACATCTCGGAAATTTTCAGAATAAGCAAAGGTATACGTATCGAGTTGGAAATTCCGCAGAGCCAGCGAGAGGCATGCCCTCACTGTGTATGACGCGGCCCTAAGAGGGCCTACATTTTATAACGACCGCATGTGGTGGCTAGACACCAACCTAGATTGAAAACGAAGAACTGCGAGGGTTTCTTGCTGGTAAAAACGTTTGCAGCTGTCTCTAGCAGATTTATGAGCAATGATTGCGCTGTATCTGGGTAACCTTGCCCTTTTGACGTTAATTAATCTTAACTGAACATTTATATTTAATCCAAAGGGTCTTCCCTGCTCTCCCTTTAATGACCTGCCATTATTTTACTTGACAAGTCACTGAATTTTCTCAGAAATGTCAACACATTAGTGAAGCAGTTCGCTGGCTCGGGCCGGTCTGTACGCTTTGCCAATCATTAATACAGAAACTCTATCACGGGCATTTGGGATTATAAGGGCGTAAATACCGAGTTACCATGGTCACTAATCATTTAAAGGATGCTTTAGTGAGTACGGTCATGATTAATTGCCTTTTCTTCTCGATATATGTTCTGTGAGCTCGATACCCCTAATTCAAAAGTTCGAAACTCAAATTTGTAATTACTGAACTGAATTAGTTATCAAGCTGAACTGGTAATAAAGCTCCATAAGGAATACGCGTTTGCTCATGACTGTTCTACCATTTTTTACTTCCGCTTTTAATTTTACTGTTTTTTTATTCTGCTCATAACTATTCGATAACGGAATACAAAGTATTCATTCTCTTAGGCAGCGTTCAGACTTCGCGGGAGAACTGGCCCCAAGCGCTTCGGTCGCGCGTTCGACGCGATCGATACGCATGCTTTCGACTGCATTGATCGCGTCGAACGCGCGACCGAAGCGCTGCTGTCGCGAAGTCTGAACGCTGCCTTACGATGACTCGCCAAACCGATTAGCTCAGTCAGTAGTACCCTTCATATCCGGGTTATCACTAGGACCTGACTGCGCACTTCATTTCTTTATCCAGCACAAGACCGTATGACAGTTGTTCTCAAATGGGAATATTTCACAAAAAAGGCCTTCCACTTCATCTTCACTCGGAGAAGTGGCCAGGGCCTCCCCATCTCGAGTGTACCTCGCCATCTTCGCGACTACTCCGATTCTTTGCGAGAACTAGATTGATAAATCGAACGATCAAAAGTGCGATGCTGAGGGCAGACTGATTTCATTGCCATTGGCATTGAAATAACAATTTGGCCCATTTGTCCTTTTCTGCACCACTCGAATCTGAGACCTTTTTCATTGAAAGCTCTTTTCGGTGTCACATCTTTCCGGTGTGGTGGGGGAAACCTTGTCCCCGAAAGCGGGTCAATTGATTGCATTGTTAAAATTTTTGCCAAATACTACCTCCCTCAAAACTTTACCTATCCTTCATCTTAGTAAACTCGTAGGACCAGATTTTTGTGATGAAATGTTTTCTGCGCTAACACGAGCTCTTCCCCTCCCAGTAAACAAGGAAAAAAAAACCACTGGTTGAGGCCCAGCGTTACGACCCATGCCTTGGTTGGGATTCACATGAGAAGAGGATGTGAAGATACCGACTAAGGGGAATCGTCCCTTCTAGCATCGCAAAATATTGAAGTTCGCAGGAATTCGAAAAGGATTACAGCTTCGCGATCTGATAGCGCTGATCGATCGCGCGCCATCGGACCGCGAACTATAAACCCGCTCTTGGGAACGTATTGTGCCGAGCAGTTTCCAGTTCTCCCGACCCCTGCGTACACGTAACAGACTGAAAAGTGCTCAGACGCACGTCGCACCGCACACTTATAGCGCAGTGACGTGACTCTTTAGTAAACAGAAAATTTTTTCATTCTCTTAAACAGCAGGCATGTCTTCACTCTCTACTCCGGAGCTAACAATAAGTCTAGATTTTGCAGACTAAATATGATCCAACGGAAAAGTCCGTTGTTTCGTTGGATCATATCCAAAAAAAGGATAAAGTCTTCGCCGTTGATCAATCCCTTTGTGGGATGCGGCACGCATTCTACTTCCATTCAGAATCGTAGTGGCTTATTGAATGCGATGTGGCCTACTTGCGGGGGCCAGCCGATGTACAAGTCAGTGTTTTATCCTCCCAGACGAATCTGGTACCAATTTACCGTCCCCGGAGGGTAGAAGGCTTGGTTGGCCTGGGCGGGTGTCGACCTGGGATTCGAACCCAGGACCGCGCGAGTGGTAAGCGCGCCACTTGTCACTACACCACCTCCGCCTCATCATATTTAGTTTCAATTAATTATTAATATTAGTATTATAAGGCACAAGAGAAGTTGCGAAATTAATAAT